ATTTGTTGACTGTGGCAGCAGCATTTCAGTTCCCGGTTATTCCCTGTACCCCCATGCCTTTTAAAGAAAAGGTGGGGACAGTTTGGGATGGAGGTGTGGAGAGCAAGAATTGATGAGGACACTGTGTAGCAGCACTGCCAGGTACCTCTTGGGAGTTGGGAGCTGCTTCCATCAGTGCAGTCTGGTTCGTGGGTGCTTTAAGGATTGCTTCCTACCCTTTGGCAATAGGAAACGTGTTGTATTAATGTAATAGGATCGCATTGTAGTTCGCCTTCCGTTATCTAAGGTTGTGATAGGTTCTGCTATTTTGCAAAATGGTCAGAACAGATAATGTAGATGATGTGAGGCACTTGAATTACTATAATAGAGAAAGCTGCTGGGCTGGTCTCTTCTGACTCCAGAGGAGGTTTTTGCTGTCTCTAGTTTTGTTCAGGGTCAGATTTTTTTTTTCGTTCATCTAATACAGAGAACAAAACAATAGTGGCCTTATGTGGGAGGGTCCTACCTTCAGCATATCACATGCCCTTATGAAGAGCAAATAGAAAAAGAAACTATTTCCTTCAGAGCCTGGAAAAAGAATTTCAGATTTAATAATCTGATGTTGTGGGGGGGGAAGGATTATGCCAGTTGAAGAGTTAATTTTGCCTGTTGTAACTCCCTCTTCATACTTGAGAGATACAGATATATGTTTTTCTGTATAAATGCATTTATTTTAAAACAACAGTTTTCTAAAAACACTGTTTGTGTTTTTTTTTTTTTTTCTTTTCCTTAAATAATTTGGGGGCCTGTAGCAGGTAATATTCAAAACTAAAACTTCAGTAGTTTTTATGGGAGACTATACAATGAAGAGAAGATAAAAGAATTTATTTTAAATAAGAAATTTCTGTACAGTTGTAAAGAAAATCTAAACATGTAATTGGAGTGCTCATTGCTGTACAAAACAGTCTGTTTAAGAACGCAAAATAGAAAAGGCTGTTATTTGACGTATACCGGTTCCAAGCTTCTATTAAAGAAGGAGAAATCTCTGCTTTTTCTAATTCTGGTATACAGTGTTTCCTGGTTATGGTTTGTTCCCCAAAAATTTCCTGACCATCCCTGATGAAATCTGCACTTCTACATCCTGTTGCACAGAAGCAACACCTGATGTGTTACTGGAAAGCTCTGCTAATTTTGGGTTCTTTCTCTGTTGAAGTTATTCAGCATATTTTTGCTGACATAGTTGTTAATTTGACCTTTTTTCTTGAAAGTGATTTTGATCCCAATCTTATGCATTTAAGTAATTTATGCTTTCATGTAATAAATATCTATAAAAACCAAACCAACCAACCCCAAACTATAAAATGTCCCCCCACTTTGATGTTCACAGATTTTGCTTTTTTGAAGACTGTTTTAATAACCATGTTAATCAATCTTCTGCTGAAAAGCTTTAGTGTTTGCTTAAATCAAACTAACAGATGTCCCCAATGGCATTTCATGATTGGTGCCTCTGTTACATTGGCAGAGATTTCAGTCAGGTGGGCAATGTTTCTGCTAAGTGATGTTGCTTAAATTAGCCCAAGTCAAAAATGAATAGTCTTTCCCAGTGGGTTTCTCTTTATCTTTTGCTCTCAAAAAACTTCCAAAGTAATGAGACAAACTAAACTGAAAATTTATATATAAATTTGAAAAGTTATAAACTGACGATTTTGACTAAAGCAGGGTGGGATTTTTGATAGCTGTGACTCAGTCTCAAATTGAGAAAGTAAAACATGACTCAGCAGTGGATTTTGTGATAGCAGAATTAATCTTGTCCCATATAGAGAAGATTTATTTCTAGGTGAGGTTCTTGTTTATTCATTCTCTATTTTTTTTTTTTTTTTTTTTCCCCCTGGAAAAACAGTAGTGCTTTAATCTAAATTCTAGTTTAAGTAAGACAGCTACAGTCCTGGTAGGTTCAGTAAAATTGAAGAATGATTTAATTTACATTAGGAGCAGAAGAGAAGGAATGTTTCCATGACTTGCCTGACAGTCTAAAATGCTGCTTATGGATTTTGTACTCCCCCTAACCCTTGGCATTGAATTTATGTTCAATTTTATGCTGGAGATAACAGAAGGTGAACTTGTGGAGTTTATGATATTGCTCTTCCTAGGCAGTCTGTTGGTGTAATTAAGCCATAGTTGAAGCCTTGAGAGTAGGATAGTGCCTGTTGGCTCTATCTGTTCTAGTTTCCTCTGGCACAAAGTGGGAATGCTGTTCCACTTTACCTTCTGACTCTGGCTAATGAGATGTGCTAATTCACAGTAGTTACCTGAATCTTCACAGATCGTAGTATTTGGGCTTAGAGTCACTCAGCTGGGAAATTCTGCATTCCCATGCAAGCCACCAAATCTTGCCACCTTATTTTTCTCAAGTGTCTGCCTTTTATATAAAAAAAAAAAAAAAAAGGAATGTTTCTTATATGCATTTTTTTCCCCCCATTCAGTGCATCTGAGTTTAGGATTGTTTTGTTTCTTCTTGGTAATGGTGCTCTGGTCCCTCAGTATTTGCTGAGATGTCAGTGTCCAACCTAAACAGTTGGATCCCATCACGTGTCTGGGTTAGAGCACAGCTTGCATCATTAGTCTGGGAACACTGGCAGGGCTGGAGAGGGTGATGTTAATGTTGGGCTGGGCTAATGTGTCATGGTTTAGGCCTGGTTGGCAGCCAACCACAATGCAGCACCTCTCTCTCCCTTCCCCTCCGGCAATGAGAAGGGACAGAGAGCCAGGCCTGGGGTTCAAGATAGGACTGGGATGGGGAGAAAATTCCCCTTTATGGTCATGAGCAGAAGGCAGACTCGTTGGGGGAAGAAAAAAACCCCATACATATATTACAGACACTAACAACACATAACAGAGTAGGAGAGTGAGAAGCATTGCCACATCTTGAGAACACCTTCCCCCCACCCCTCCCTTCTTCCCGGGCTCAGCTCTGCTCCCGATATCTCTACCTCCTCCCCCAGTGGCGCAGGGGCAGGGAATGGGGGGTGCAGTCAGCACTGCCATTTTCTTCATCTTCGGTGGGGGGAGTGTCCGGAACTTGTTCCTCCTGCTCCATCGTGGTCCCCCTCTCACAGGAGACAGTCTTCCACAAACTTTCTCCGACTTGAATTCCTCCCATGGGCCGCAGCGTTCCCCACACTGCTCCATCATGGGTCATTAACTTCCTCCGACTGGATTCTCTCCCATGGCTGCAGCCCTTCCTGAGCTGCTCCGGCGTGGGACACCCCTGCATGCTGCAATCCTCCCAGCGCTGAATTACAGCAGCGGGGCTACCTTTTTCCATGAGACCCCGGCCTTCTTCGGGCACAGAACCTTGATCATCTGAGCAGGAGCCACAGGCCATAAATCAATGTCTGCTCCACCGTAGATCTTCATGGGTGGCGGGGGGGGGGCCGCCCTGCCATCTCCCCACAGGATACAGGGGGGGTCTCTGCTCCGGCACACCTTCCCCCTCCTTTCTTCCTCCGTTCCTCCACTGACCTTGGTGTTCATGCAGCTGCAGCGACTCCTCCTCACAAGTCCGACTGCCCGTCACCACGTCCCTTCTTAAATACGTTATCGCAGAGGCGCAGCCGATTGGCTCAATTTCCCAAACAGAATTGGAGCTGATGTGGAGCTGGGGGAGCTTCGAGAAGCTTCTCACAGGGCGCTGCCCCGATAGCCCCCTCCCCTGCCACCAAAAAACTCCACCACTCACTCAAGCCAGGACATAATGTAATATCTGGACTAGAATCAAAAAGACCTATGAAGTGTCTTTTCCTTCAAAAGTTTTGTCTTGTTTCTGTGTTACACTGTGGATGTTATTTGCTTTAAAAAAAAGTATGTCTTGAAGCATTCAGGAATATTTAATATTTCTTAATGTATATTAAGTTTGTTTTCTTAAATCATTATTCTTTGGGGAATTGTGATTTCTTGGTAGGTAGCTATTTAAATGTTATTTGGGTAGGTACTATGTTTCAGACTGAGTATCTAGCAAATATCAATTACTCAATGATTGCTGTAATGTATTTAAATAAAATGAAGAGCTGTGCAGAGAAGACAGATTGCCAGCTACATAAAAATGAAAAGTGGGGCTTTGAATAGGAACTACTAGACAAAATGTGTAACAAGTGTGACAATTTCTGACCACTCAAGTTTAAAACTATCTTTCTTTTTTTTTTTTTTTTTTAAAGTGCTTTTGGAGGTTAGAATAGGTCAGTATTTTTGAATTTATTAGCTGAATACATTTAAAACTTAGTTTTCAGATGAACAAATTTACTATATGATCACAGAATTTTTGCAGAAAGATACTGATCCTGGACTACCACCATGAGAGTCACAAATGCCATTTCCAAATGTGATTGTGGAGGATATTTTCTATTCTTATTTAAACTTCTTCACCATATTAGACACTGTAATGAGCTTCCATTTTTATTGATTTCTTTGTAGCCCAGGCAAGCAAGAACACATTTTATAGGAAGGCAGTGCCATTTATAGGATGCGTTATCCCTGAGGGCTTAATTGTGCAGTGTTGCTCTTTAGAAACAATGTGGTCGTGTTTTGTGTTGTGTGTGGGATAGGGGTTTTCAAATTTGTTTTGTTTTGTTTCCTTGCAAGTGCATGAGTGAAAGTATGCCGTTTACATCAAGTAAAGTTGAAATGATTGATTTTGAGACCAGGTTCCTACAGTTTTGGGGGGCAGGCATCAAGAGTGTAGTGTTACCCCCATCTGACATAATTGGGATGATGACTGTTTTTACTTTCTAAGTAGAGTTTTCTTGCATGCTTGTTTGTTTAGGAATTATGGAAGAAGAAATCTCTTACTCAACCTCATGTCAGTGTAAGGAAACTGATTATATGAAGTAGTTTTTCAAGTATTTTTAAATCTATTCTTCACCAGCACAAAAGATTCAAACTAAAGACAATAATCTTATAGATGGAAAAAATGTTTGCTAATAGATGTCATGTGATATTCTAATATTATTTTTCTTCTTTAACAGGTATCTTTCAGATGAAGGAATTGAAGCTTGCATAAGTTCCTCTGAAAAAGTTAATACAAATGACATTATCCTAGTTGCCCTTAATGTAAGTTATGATTGTGAAAACTTTTTTTCTGACAAGTCACGCTAAAAATGATATATCTAATGTCTTAAGTGTAGGTTTGTGTGGCTAACTAAGCGTACTGTTGTCTGTGTGATTTATGTAAAGGAAAGAGTACCCCTCTCTCTCTCTGTGTATGAGTTGTGAATTTTATTTGGAAATAACACTTATTCCGAACTGTGAAACCTGGAAGAGAAAAATTAACATAATTTGCAATAGGAAGATGTTTTTATGAAATGTAAATCTGAAGTCAGATTAGAAGCAGTAATGAAATCAGAAGTGCTTTGTACTGACATGGGTATGAAGTTGTAGTACAAAATACTAGTTTGTTGGGATAAACCCTTACTTAGTTTGACTTGTGGACATGATATTCCTTAAAGCATATTCAAAGTAGCAGTGGATTTTCCTGTGATGTGTACATATTTATGTAACTGCAAACAGTTTTTTTATTAACTGTAGAAATCTGGATTAATAGTTGTTATTCCTGCCAACAAATAAATATGAAAATACACAAGATGGAGAAACAACGTGGACACAATAAATCTTAAGACTTTTTAGGACTTGAGAAAGGTGTGCACATGAATTCTTATTTTTCAGAATTCTAGTATATACATTGTTGGTTTGGTAGACATTAGTAAGTCTGCTCTCTTTCAGTAACAATGAAGAGAGGGCAGCTACTTAATTCATGTATTTGTTAATTATTTTTAATTTATTTTACCAAATCATGAGGAAAAGTTTTGAGAATTTTACATTTTCTGTGTTTAAAACTTCTCAGTCATCCATACTCAGAAGTTTTAAAGCTTGTATACACTGTATATGGATTTATGTAAACTTTGTCATTTGTAATAGCTGTATGTAGTTCCAATGAGAAAAACAAGGTAGTAGAGTGCTTAAGAGAAAAGTATTCTTTCTTAATCAAATTGTGAATGAGAATAGTTAGGAAATATTTTGTCTATCTTCGGGATTTGGTGACTGTTGGTTTAAGATGATACTCTGTAAAGAGTATTCCCTCTGCTCCTTTCATTTATTCTTGGAAGCATGTGTTCAATCACTTGTATGTATGAACCAATTCATGTAATGAATTTGAAAAGTACTAAAGTTATAATGCAAAAATGCAAAGAATGTAACAGAAAACATGCAGAAGGTAAGAACTTGCTTTCTGGACTGTAGTAGCAAACCTGTGTGTATATTTGAGAATGTATTACTACTTTATAAAAGACCAAAATACTTCCAAGTTGCAGAGTATTATCCTGAATGTAATTGTATGCTGGAACAAGGAATAACATGATCATTTGTGCATGTATGTCTTATATTTCCAGTTTGTTCGATAGATAATACAAATAAAATAAACCAGAAATGTTACGTAAGTACTTCAAAGCCAGTTTTAATTGCTTATCAATATATTTGTCAGTAAATCAGTTGTTTTGATGTCTACGAGATTATTAAGTTGCCTGTTGGGTACGTAGGGAATAGCAGTGTGGCTTGAAGGATAGGATAACAGTGAATTTAGATTCCACTTACTTATTCACAAATTCTTTGACTGCTAGGGACACCTTTCAGGCAAAAGAAACCAAGAAGTCAAATTACTTATTTTTTTTTTTTGTGTGTGTGTGAATTGCTTAAATAAGTATGTAATAGACATAAATGTACCTTCAGTCCTTCAAATGTTTTTATTTTGTATGAGATCTTGCAAAGAGTTTGTAGAAGTTGTGTCCCCTTCCTGCTGCTGTGATTGCAGAGCACCTTGCTGGAGTCTTGTCAATTATACGGATACAGAACATGTGGGAACAGTTTATAGGAGCCTGTGTGCTACTCAGAGATAAATAACTGACTGGTGACCCATCAGTTCCCTCAGGTGGACTCAGCTAGAAAACTGAATGTGTTTTCATATCACTATCTAAGGCTATCTTGTGCAACAGAAAGTGGGTTGAGCATTTGTCCATTCTACAGATACTCAGAGTAAATACACTAAAAGAGCATCTCTACAATTAGTTTTCTGTTTGTAAGATAACAATGATTCTTGCTGAAAAACAGAATAAAACACTTGTTTACAGTGTTTTAGTTACTAAAATATGGTGCTGCTCATTCTAGGTTAGGATACTGGAATATTTTAGTGGCAAGTTAACGTACAAGTTCTAGTAGTAATTACATTTGGCCTTTCTTTTGGGAGTGTTTATGATCATAATAAATAAGGAGGGTTTTCAGCGTCAGTACAGTAATCTTCACCATCGTGTTCTACTTAAAACAACAGGCTTACTTCAAGCAATGGTGCTTGGAAAACATGGGTGTGTTAGGCTGAACCACTGTGCTTTCTTTTTTTTTCTTAACACATGTAAATACACTAAAAACCTAATGTGCAAAGTTTAATTAGTTTTTATTCCATTTCCTATTTTCACATGCTGCACCTTTTAGCCATCCAGTGCATCCTTTTGTCATACATCAACCTGATTGATATGCATGTCCAAGCAGTGTTAGGTGAGGAAAGTGCTTTTGTGGAGATTTGTTCTTTTGATCATATGAATTCTTCAGTTTAATGTTGTCAGTGGCCATGTTGCACAGTTGCTGAATAATGTCATGCAGCTATCTCACTTCCAAAAGTAGTAATCTGACTTGTAAGCTAAAAAGCATTTAATGGAAGTATGATGTGAGCTTTTGCTGCAGGTATAATTGCAAAAATCATCCCAACCCTTTATGAATGATTTGTGCATGTAGAAACACACAAACTAAAAATGCTTTTCTCCAAGTGCCAGATGGAGAGCAAAGAAAGTTTATCTCTATTTAACCTCAGAATTATGTCTAGTAATTAAACATTACTTAGTCATCTTGTTTCATTTATTAAAAGCATTTCAATCATCTTTGAAAATGTGATTAAAACAAGAATATAATTTTAAAAGCAAAAGGATTTCTTTTGTAAACTCTTAGTCTTTGAATTTCTTTCATCATATGCTGTTAGAGGAATCTTTTTTATAGTTATAAATAGTTGGCATTATGGAATTCTTTTTCATATTTTAAGATAATATATATTTTTTTTAATAGGATATTTTAAGTTAATATTCTTTTGTCTTCTATATTAATTTCAGACAGATTTAAGAACGATTGGCAAAAAATTCCTGCCCAGTGACATCAATGGTGGAAAGGTGGAAAAGGTAGATGATATTTTTGCTTCACTTTTTCTGTTTGGTGATTTCTGTGTGATGATAGCCTTCTATCATGCATTAGTCTGGTTTTGTCATTATTATGTATACCAAAGAACCCCGTATTTGAATATATTATAGGGTAAATATATGAACATATTGCCCACTAGGCTTCGTAAAGAGAGGACTTTTTTATTTCTCAACATTGAAATGCTTAAATAAATGGGAGCAATCCTAGCAACTTAATTTATCACTCAGAAGTCATTTAACCTGTTTAATCTGAACATGGTATCAGAAGTACATTTTTTCTGCTTTATTCATGCGAGAACAACATAGGGGGTTAGGAATAAAGTAAAGCAGCTGTATGATAATGATACATAGTGACACATGTTGATGCTGTAGTTAACTTACTGATATACCTGATTATAGATACACATCTTAAGTAATTTTCCTATGACTCTGTATCCTATAGGTTACGTGGCTAAACCATGTTAGACGGTATAACATTTTATATGCTACAGAATAGTATTATACTTGTTAAAAATCTAGCACATGCAAGTTTCATGTTTTATGTTTAGATAAAAGCTAAATTTGGCCCCTTCAGTATACCCTTCCTGTTGTCTTCCATACATTCAGTTAAGAAAGTGGATAAATTAAGGAATTTTATTTTAAACTTAGTAGTAGCTCTCGGTTCAAATCATTATCCCTAACTTCCAAATATTGACAGTCTATATCACTGATGTGAAAGTTCTGGGAAAACAAATTTTATTACTATTGAAATTCAAATAATGATAAATCAAAGTGGGTTTGTTTTAAGAAAGCAAGATTGATGAGAAGCTGTTAAGAGCTGTTCAGGTTTGTTTTTTTTCTGCTGATGCTATTGTCTAAATGGAGAGGTAACTGCTGTAAACACAGACTTTTACAGAACAGCAGCAGGAGCATTATTGTTGGATATGCAAAGCATGCTTAAGAGATATTTTATTGCAGGATCATAGTTTCTAGCCAGGCAATAGTCTGTGCACGCAACATTTCTTCTTAAGCTAACTTTCTGGGAAAAGTTCTATTAACTGTATTTCTTATTATGTAGAGCTATGTCTTTCGAAGGTATTACTTAAAAATAAACCGAATCAAGGTGATATTTTATGAAATGGATTGCTTACCTGTTTAGGTTTCTGGATAACATGCTGTTCTGGATATTTCCATGCTTAATTAATTTCTTACCACCTAAAATAATTTTATTTAGATGTTTCTTATATCAGTGATGATAACGTTTTTTCTTCCGCTTCAGCATCCTGTTTTTGAAATGTGGGAAACAAGCGAAATAATTGCATTTTGTAAATTTTTTTTTTTGCTCTGTTTCATTTCTCAGTTGTTTAATTGGAATATTACTGGATTTTGCATTTCAGATCATGTAATATTCACAAGGTCCAAATGTATTTGTTTAATTCTCCAGAGTGTTGAAGTTGTATGTGTGGTAATGCTTGCCTTATGTTTCAACAGCAAAACTACGTGATTTCAGTTTAAAGTGACTTTAATAGTACGTTTTTTTCAGAGTTTTGTTGCATTATGGTAGACTTTCTTTAGAGGTAGTTGTTCAGTTTTAATTCAACACTTGAATATATCTAGTAACTTGTCCATTTCCTTTAGAGAGGATGTTTTCTAAATTTGGTGTCATTATGTAATTCAAATGGTCAAGTAAAAGTGAAAGTGTCCATCAAAGTTTTGAGGAAATTAATGATGTTATACGTGAGAATCTACCTCTGTGCTTTAAAATACTTAATTCTAGTTTAGCTGCACAAGTCACCACTTGGGTTTTTTCACGTTTCTCAGCTCAAACTAGAGAATGTGCAATTGTGCCATTTGTTGCTTGAAAACTGGTGGTTAGTGCTTTGAAATACCTGTGGGATAACAGTTACCCTTTCATGGGAAAAACCTTCTGCACCTGTACACACACAAATACTTCTATATTTTGTAAAACTGAGCATCTCAGAAAATTAAAAGGTGGAAAAGGTGAGAAAAATCTAATTCTAGTTTAATTTTCAAGGATCCTTATTAAACTTGCTGCTCTCCCCTCAATGTCTGTTCTGCTTTGTGTTACTGTGTGTCCTTTTGAGGGTTTTCATTTTTGTTACTGGCGGTACAAAACGGTATATATGTAGGATCCTAAAAGAGAAAAAAGGGATTGTTGTTCAATAAAGCTTGATAAATTTTGGCATGGGATTGTCTTACAGTTGATGGAGATGGAGGACTGGATAGTAGGATTGAATGCTGCAGGAATCCAGTACAATCCAAACTTTCTCTTTGAAAGTTGGTTTGATTCAAGGTATTTCTGTTTTCCAGATTGTCAGATAGTTTATAGAAACCAGTGCTTACAGACTCTTTCAATTTTTAATGGTTAAAGAATGAAAGTATAGAGGAAAAGGGTATTTTTTCTTCTTAGGTCGTGACTCCTGACAGCAGCAGCAGGAGTTTCAAGAAGGTGGAGGAAACAGGCAGGACAGAAGAAAACTGTGGCCCCTAATGGTCTTTGTTAAGGACAACCATTTGTTTAACAAGTGGTATTTGTTAAATGCTAGGGACTTACAAACTTCTGTCAGTATTGTTAATGAGTCATGATTTTTTACATGTGAATTTCCAGTAAAATTTAGTTCGGTCTTACTTTAATCAATTGTCTTTACTTGGATCACAGATCTTAGAAAATTATTCTGAAAAAAAAAACAGACCAAAAGCAATACTTGCAAACCATTTGCCGGTGGATGATAATCCTCCAGCTTTTGAAAAGAAGTAGTGATTACACAGAAAAAGTTTGTGTTTGACTCCTATTTATAGTTTTTAGCCTCGACTATGTAGTGTACTGAATCTTTGCATTCTCAACTGCAGTGTTTTCTTTTTTTGGGTAACATAAGGCAAATCTGACTATTTAATAAATGCTGCTATTTAGCTTGCAGTGTATACAAATATTTTATGTTACAGAACTGTGTGTTTATAAAGGAGAATATTTGCTTTATTCAAATAAAGTAGATGGTTGGAACAAGAATGACTTCTTAGTACAATCTCTATGTAGAAAGTGGTCATTTGTGGTTCAGAAATGCTTCAGAAAACAATAGAAATTATATGCTACTATTGCTCCTCTCATCGGAGACTTAGGATCAGTATTATTTATCTGTATCTTGAGAACACGTGATGTATTTCCTTCTTGCATAGAAAATAACTATTTTATAATATTAATGTAATAGACAAGTATTTGCATAAAAGCTGGCATAGAGTCCTAGTGTAAAATAACATCGGTATTTGACCATTATAAGTGGTTATCAATTTCAGTCATTAACATACAGAGATATTTTATTCACTCATTTAGATCTATGTTTTGTATGGATTTAAAAAAATCAGTATTACCAGCATTAACCACAAGATGGCCACATTTGCATAGGATTTGAAAAAGCTGAACCCTCCCATTTCCATCTAGATGACTATATACCATGAATATATGTTAAGTATTTTTAATGTAATAAAAATGTGAAGAAGACCATAAAGTTATAATGTATAATTTAGTAATGATGTTACATGTAAGGCATAACTGATTTTCTTTTGAGTATTTATGTTCCATTACAATGGAAACATTCATTCCAGATAAAGCATTCAGAAAGGATTTAATTTCTGAGCTCAGAGAGGTGCTTTCTGAGTACCGACAGATTGGTGGCTAGCAGTTAAAAGATAAATTGCTAGCGATTCTAATTCTTGTTTAAGGTTAATAATATGCTTCCCAGTTCCTGTCTCATTACTTTAATACAACTAACTGTCTTGTTGCCTTTTAATGTCTCTTTGTGGTTTCCTACAGGCTTTTTTTAATTTATTTTTTTTTTAAGGAGTAATCAGATTTGCTATTCCAGTTACAATTCACCTGCATTTAAAAAAACCCACAAACCCACCAGTCTCGAGGTGCTTATCTTTACCTTCCAGTGGGACTGTTTGCTATATCATATCTCCTGATGTAACTGCATTTGAAACTGCATGTGTCAAGAATTATCCTGTGTATTTTTAGTTGTTTCTTTTTTTCCAGTTGAGATGATTTTGACAAGGCTATTCGTACAGTAATGCTGACAGATAGAACTGAGTTGTAGTCCTTTTAGAAAGCTGTTTGGCAGCCTTAGGTAAGCTGTGGGCCATGAGCCCTTCACCTTGATCAGTATCTTGTGTTCTTAGCTCCTCATGCCTATTTCAGGAGCTCTTAAAAAGCTGTGATTATTTCAGTATTTATCAGAAAAATAATATAACGTTAGTTATAACAAGGTAAATCTTTGTGAGAGGCTGACTAGTTTTTTTGTTTCAGACCAGTTTGAGTGTGCCAAAGCAATGCTTCTAGGAAGACGGTCCAATAACAGTCTTGAAAAGCATAGAATATAATCTAGTTGTTGTATTGCAAAACCTGTTGAAAATGATTAGCCCGCTATTGGGCATTGTTTAAAATGTTATCTCTGTAACTTAGGGATCCGAAGAGATTAATTTATTAGAACAATATTGTGTACCTTGATCAAATTGGTAAGTACGCTTCCAGACATTTTGTCACCCTCACTTGATCTGGAGAATCATGGATGATGTTTCTCATCATTCCAGCCTTAATGTGTGTAGTTGCTTGTCCAGTTTGTAAGTACTTCCGGAGAGAGCAAGCTACAGCTGTACTGTTTGAAATTTAAGAATGAAGGCATTACCTAAATAATAATATTGGATTGTATACAAGAAGGCAGTCATAGGTTCCCAGAATGGTTCAGGTTGATACAGAAATTGTCTCTTATATTCAACATTACTGTTCAAAGTGTTAGTAAGGGAACTGAAAGCTGCATTTTTGTAATGGAAAGTGACTCACAACCTTAAGATATAACCTGCTTTACTACTTAGGACACTTGATAATTTACTAGAAACTTTTTCCTGTCTTGTTTCTCACAATGACACTTTAAAATAGTCCACACAAGGAGTACTGACATAGATCTCCTGGATTCACCTGGAATCCAGTGGTGGTTGGTTCTGCAGGAAAACTGACTTTTCTTTTCCCCTGTCACTATGAGCTTGTTTTATGTGATGAGAAGGGAAGTGAGTTGGACTGGGCCTGGCAAATGTGGATGCGCTAAGGTCCTGATTAAGTCCATAAAAATAATTGTAGTGTTATTGTGGTATATATTTGAGAAAACTATGTACTTCCATTCCTGTTTTGCACCTGTTTTCTGAAACATGTAATTTTCTGACATGAAATTTTCTTTGTTAATGAAGTAGACACTATTGTCCAAGCTCAACAAAGGTACACCTCTGCTTTATTGTGATGTATACTTGACACTGTAGACATAAAACGCTGAACATGTTGCATGTACATTCATAGTTAGCCTAGCCCTCAATTCTTTGCACTTCAGAGTTTTTAAAGATTCTGCTAAGCAATTGTTTAAAACCAAAAGCAAGTATGGAGAACTTAAATTTGATCAACATCTGTGAAAGAAATAGCTATCATAGTAAAGCTATTAGTCAGCTGAGTGACAAACCTAGCTGTGGTTAACTAGAAAGGCTTCTCAGCTGCCTAGGGTTTCTTCATCTTTACTTTGAAAACACTGTATGATGTTAAAAACTGTTAGTGTTAATTTATGACAAGTGTAGACTGTTGTTGAAGCAACCCATGAGTATGGCACTGTGGTTCATTCACCACTACAGAAATAATCATTCCGTACAAAAAATCTGGAAGACATTTTTTTTTTTTTTTGTGGCTTCTTTGCTTTAGTTAACTGATAGAGGAGGGGAACTAGTTTTCATACTGTACATGAGATTATCCAGTTTTGCTTCTTTTGAAATAAAGGGGAAAAAGATTCCTTTTGTATGAGAAACAGAATTGATCTTTCAGTTGTTACTGAAAGAAATAAGGTTCAGTCAGCATCTACTAAAAATACTGTTGTTCTTATTTATGCTCATTTCTTCAAACTTTCAGTATTGAAGAAAAAAGGTAAGAAAGCTTCATGTTTCAGTAGATTCCAAATAAACAACCTCTTCAGCTTTTGAGAAATCCTCCATTCCAAATACTGTATTTTTCATGGTTTGATCTGAGGTTGTAGACAATGCAGGTGCCTTAAAATTTAACATTTATTTGAAAGTGTCAAGAATAGGAAAAGTATATTACTAGCTGTTATCTCAAGATGACTAAACCATTTAAGAAGTGAACTCTGCAGGATGCTGCTTTTGCTCCTTTTAGTGACTTTTCTTCCTCTTCTTAGTACAATTTCATGCTTTGCTGGTATTCCAAAGTATTTTCCTTTCTTTTTTGTTCTCATCCTAAGTGAAGTTCCTGTTTCTTCTAAATTATCTAGTGTTACTACTTCTATTCTTATATTTATTAATTCCTCTTTTCTTTGTATATATTTACCTCTGGTTATCTCATTTAATTTTGTGTTCTTCTGGACCGCCTATTCTGTTTCTCAAAGGGAAGAAGCTGATGAAATGCGCACTTTTTCATCTTCTCTGCTGTCTCAGGTGCTAGAGATCAGTTGAGCAGCAACAGATTATTTGTTTTTATTTCTCAGAGGGATCAGAATGACTGTGTACTCAGCTATAACTGAAATGTGATGAAGTGGTTTGGTTGGTCTGTTTTGGTTTGGTGTGTATAGGAGAATATGCAGCATTTTTAGGTAACCAACACAGTGATATCCCTTGAGGTTGTTACGTCCTGCTTGCACCCCTGCTTGAAGAAGCCATGTTTTTAGTTAGTGTTTACAAAGCAGTTGTACTTGAAATGTACTCCTGATACAACCGGATAGTCTTCAAAACTGTTTTTTTTTTATTTCTTTAGAATGCTTTGTCAGTGAGACCCTGAGGCACAGCGTGTGAAATCTTATCTGGACTCCATAGTATGTTGGAAGTGACAATATTTATGTTTTTGTTTTGACCCCCCCAACTCTTTTCATTCACTTCTTTTCCATAGTTGGTATCGCAGAGATGTATGAAGTATCACAGCTGTTTCTCTGAAAAAGCCATTTTTACCATGCTTTAGAACATACAGTACATGAGTGATAGAAATTAAACATGACTGCCTGATCAAATTATATTTTCCTTTGCCTGGAGGCATCTGTTAGTGTGTCTAGCTATTATAGTGTGTTTGCTTAATGATGTTAACAGTTTTGTCTTTTCTGTTTTGCATATATAGCTGGAAGGGCCATGTGTTCTGCAAATACAGAAAATACGCAATGTTGCTGCACCAAAGGATAACGAAGAATCTCAGGCTGCTCCCAGAATGTTACGTTTACAGATGACTGATGGACACACGAGCTGCACAGCTGTAGAATACAGTAGCATGTCAAAAATAAGGTGAAAAACTTTGAAAATAAAGTTTTGCTTTGATACTTAAACATCATTAAAATAATGCAAGTGTCCTTAGTAATATATGTAGAAAAATTGCTTGACAAAGCAGGCTTCCTTCTTGGGTTTTGTATGTAAAGGAGAACCTTAAATTCAGCATTCAAAGGTGTATACTAATAAAATTTACAGTAATGTTTATGCTGAAGTACATGATGGAGGAAAGTGGATTTTTGCAGCCATCTGCTGTGTGGGAGTTGACATGGCACAAAGCAATTTGGGTGTTTGCAAACTTAAGCCAAATTCCCAGTTTTTAGTAGGAGATCTTTTGCCTGACTGGTAGCAGGAACGTCACAGGCTTGACACACTTAATTTAATGCACCTAGTGATGCTTTACCATGGGCAAGGCTTTAGCTTGGATTGAATCAATAAATATTTCTTCAGTTAAAAATAAAGGGTAAGAGAACTAATTACTGTTGAACATGGGGATTTTTTGTGTGTTTGATTATGAAGATGCTGAAAACTATCTGTAGTGTTCAGTCTCTGGAGTTATGGTGTGCTTTGCTCTTCACTCTAGTTCAGATTATGTTGATGGAAAAAGAAAGATTTTCTTCCTCACTCTTTCTTTACTAGCTGCAACAGTTATAGATAGATATATACTTAATTTCTGAATGTCATCTTTTACTGTAAAGCTGCTCCTTCTGAGCCAGGGCCAGCCTGCAGTATTAGAGTGATGCTGTCTTAAAGAACAGATCACTTAATGATATTTTAATTTTAACTTGAGCCAGCAGAACTTGCATTGTCATATTCCAATGTGAATATAAAGAGAGCAGAAAAGGAAGGCAAACAAGTTCTTGTGTAAGTAGATTCTAGATCATAAAATATTTAAAGAGCAACACCCGGTAGAAGACATAATTTGAAAGCTTTTAGATAAAATCTCAAAAATATCAGAGAACACAACACTCTAGTAACGATGTGAGCTCTTCTTTTCTAGTAACATTGTATGAAAATTTAATTTGTGTTGTATGTGATTGTTACAGGTTTGAAGTTGGACTATTAACCTGGAATAATATGCTATTTCAGTACATACTGTTTCTTTAAATAAGTTAATACCAATCACAGTCATCTTCTAATTTAAAAGTTCTTCATGACTAGAGTTTCCATTTACTGCTCTCCTCCCTTTGCATAATTTTCATATTTTGCCATATTTCTTGTCTGTTTTTTTCTGTTTTAATTTTCTTTGGTTTTATCAGTTCAATACCAAAAATCCATGAATATTGCTGAGTTTAATGCCACTAGTGCTGAAATTGGCTGACACCCCTGTGTTCCTCACTATGTGGTATGGTCCCGTGATTGTAATGATATCTTTAGCATATTTTGAAGAGATTATTGTCTCTCAGTTGAAAGGTTATAACTGACTGTGTCCTGTTTCTCACAAGGAAAATAAGTTTCCAGATTGTGCTGCTTGTCATATCTTTCAACTATGGGTTGGAGATGTGTGATTCTTTCATACATCTGCTGTTGTCTTTCATAGGGTAGATTCACGTGAGAAGAAGGTAAGGTACCTCCTTGAGGGAGCTGACCACAGAGAGCATCCATATGTCTTTAAGTGATAGAGTACTAAGAAAAGCAGCACTACAAGATGCATGCTTTTTATATTTATTCTCTTACAGTCCTGGCTGTTAGTAATGTATAGAAAGCTTATTTTAACACCTTTACACCTTTTTTTTTTTTTTTTTTTTTTTTTTTTCCTTGTAAGTTAAATGTCTAAAACAAATGAGATTAATAATCATCTGGAGATCCTCCGTTTATTAACTATAAATACATCCTAGGATGTTGAACTTAGACAACTGACTTTGAGATATCTTCTGTTAGTCTAAACAAATCACATCCTTAGTTTGGTATTGTTGAATTGGATTTTAACCAAACAGACAATTTGCAAGCATTCATCTCTGTTAGAATCTAATCTGCAATATGGCATTTTTGTGTAATGAATGGGAAGTGTTCCAGTAAAGCTATTGAAAGGTACTGTGGATACTGAAGGAATCATTGCAACGGATTTTGATGCTAATTTTTTATTATTAAATATGTCAATGTTGGAAGTATAATAAGAGTAGAGTTTTATGTGATTTTGGTGGCAGAATATTAATAAGCGTATTTGAAATATTTGGCTTTGTTTCTACTTCTAGCTTGAACACTCCACCTGGAACAAAAATTAAGCTTTCAGGAATTGTTGAAGTGAGAAATGGATTCTTGCTGTTGGATGACAGTAACACAGCAGTTCTCGGAGGTGAAGTGGAGCATCTTATAGAAAAGTGGGAATTACAAAGGGTGAGGTAACACCACTGGAAATGCTTGTATTACAGGATTTATATTACATTTAATGACATCAAGCTTAATCTGTTGACTGTGAACTTTCAGTGATAAGCTTTTAGAACTTTATCAACCTAATATTTTTAGGGATGCAGCCAAATACATGTAAATAGGTCTTATGTATGATGTTTCAAATGAATAAATTATAAGTGATCTTTGCATGGGAACTGATTCCTTTCGTAGTCTGCAGGGATTGAAAACATTAATCAAATGTACTAAATTAATTTATTGTGCAGTCATGAGTAATTGATTTCCTAAACAGTGTGTTTGGTACCAAAATATTATAGAATGGTGCCTTTTACAATTACCAACTACAGACTGTATATTTTTGAGGCAAAAAGGTAGTAACTGTATGGAAATCATTGAAGTTGTTAACCATAAGTATGAATTTGGTATTGCAGATTTCATCAGTGCTTTAGGTAAATTTGTGATTAGAAAGACAAATTGGAGGTTTTAAAATCTTTCAACAAACCATAAATACTTGTAAGCCCCTTTACTTTGTTTTACCCTGGTTCCTGTCCCAGTAGAACGAAAGTTGCTGCAGAAAGACTTTTTCATACATTTCTTCACAAATGAGTGGAAGTTCTTAGGGTGGGAAGTTGTGACCCTGCTACCAGTAGTCCCAAATACTTGCCAGATCAGCTACCACTTCTACTACCGCACACGTCTGTATTTTTACATCCATGTCTCTGAAGCAGAGTAGCTGCTTATGTACACAGCGGTCATTTCTGTGCTAAGTACTTCTATTGGTGCTGATGTAAAGTTTGGCACAGTTGTTTTTGTTACAGGTAGTCTTCTTTGTTGTTTGCATTTTATAGATGTGAGCAAACTGGGACAAAATTTATTTGAACGTTTGTTTGAGTTACACAGTGTCCATTCTAGTAAACTCTGTTTGGCATCCTTTTTGAGCTTTTATAGTTGAAAGTAGTTTTTCAAAACCATTCCTGATTTTAAATGAAGCTGCCTGTTTGATTAAAAAGAAGGTTTTGGGGCCAACGGCAGAAACATCCCATTTTATCGGTTTTATTACTATTTGCCATGAAGTCTTGTGAGTTCTCTCTCCAGTTAAAAAACACTGTTTTAAGACTGATGGGGACAGAAGAGAGACACTGAATTAACATGTTCTTAAAAATACCGTATGATTTGTAAGAGAAGGGTCAATAGTATTGGTTAGCTTCCTTGGTGATATTTTAGACAGTCTGTTTTCATGTTTCTTCTGTCTGGGCTTCAATAAATAAATGTTGCTTTATAAATATTAATTTTTTTTTTTGAGGTCAATGTCAAGAAATAACTGAGAACGTGTTCTGTTAACAAGAAAGCAAACCATTTAATAACCATCGATGTGCTGCTGACTACAACAACTTTCAGCACTTGTTAGCCAGTTCTGTGGTTCTGTTGGGTTTATGAGATATGTTTAAAAGAGAGGTAACTAAGTTATCACTGATTTAATCTGGGAAGATGAAGTATAGAAAATTAACTATTGCCTGTTGCTATCCCCTCAATTATTTGGTTCCATCTTGCAATTTGCTACAGTATTGTTTTCTTTTTCTTGTTGACCACCTTGCAGCACATGATCAGGTTCCCAGCATGAATGTGGCTATGTCAGAAAACCTGTGGGTGACAAGAAATCAGTTTGGACAGGTGAACCATGACCACTGGAAATCATAGTTCCAGTTCTATATCCGGACTGACAGCTAGACAGATAGGGCTCAAACACATCTATAGAAGCTAGATGCTACTTTGATAGCAGTTTCCTCATCAAATTAGTGTTTCTGTCCTATTCAGAAAGCTTTACAAAGAGAATGGTTGACAAAGAAGCAAGATTGTCAACTCTCAAAGATATTTGAGTGAGGATATTATCACTCCTTGCCTAATCTTGTCACTGAAGCTTAAATGAAATGCTGAACTGTGTTTGCGTAAGACAGAGAACTTGTATTTGTGTTACTATTTCAAATTATGAAGCCAGTTTTTTTTTCTTTCCACTACAATGTCTGAGTAGTGTTCATTTGGCTTCTTGTGTAGATGATGGAATATGTTTCTTTTATAGATATTAAAAAAGTTAGTGCTATGAAGTCAAATAATATTACAAAACTTTAGAAATAAAGTTGTTTATCCAGTCTTAAATTGTTGTCCTTTCACCTACTTGTCAGCTTACAGTTGTGTAGTTGAATTAGTATATCGTTCCATCCAGAACAATGTTTGAAATTGCTTTCGGGAGGAATCAAGTTTTAGTAATGAAAGACTCTCACTATATCACAGTATATGTGGAATGAATGCAATATTATCACGCTCCACGTGGAAGAAGTAGGGTATTCCTTGTAGCATTCAATTTTATCATGAGGTAGTTCTTGCCTAGAAATTTCCTTTTTTTTTTTTTTTTTTATTAAGTGTCACTGTTTATGCAACAGTAAATAAGTAAGAAGTAAATGTGAATGTTACTTTGTGATGTTTTTGTCTAGACTTTTTGAAATACAAGGTAATGTGTTATGGACTTCTTGAGGTGAGAATACAGTTTCAAAAAATTACTGCTTCATAGTGTTCCTAGTGTTCAGTGGTGACCAGTGTTTCTATCAGTGAGGATCAGTATTGGTGAGATACTGCTGTTACCTCCCCTATGAAGAAAGAGTACTTTGTATTGCTGTTAATCAAAATATCAGACAATCCATAAGTGAATACTGAAACAAATTTTGCTGAGATGATTGATAGGACTGGTAGGCCTTTATAATTTTAAAACATGGAATCTGTCAAGTTCCAGATAATCTAAAAGTAAAGTTTTTCTAGTATGCTTAATGATTCTTTGAGTCTGGTGAAGGTGAGACTAGATATTGAGGTTACCTGATAGGAAAAGGGAGCAGTTTTATGTATACTTCAAAATTCATATTAGAAAAAGGTGTGAGGGTATAACAATATATTAATATCTAGAAGTTCAGTCTCATATTGTAAACCTTGTTTCTTAAGAGATTCCCTAGGAAATACTTTTTTAATGTCACAATCCAAATACAGCAGAAAAGGGTAAAAGAAGTGTACTATATGTATTTATAACAAAGCTTATTGTGTATGATAGTTACTGCTGTGCTACAGGCAAACTTAATTGTAAGTTAAAAAACATTGTTCATATTGCGAGTTTGCTTTTTATTCGGTGCAAAGCGATATTTAATTTTCAAAGCAGTTGTTCTTGCTTCTCAGCAGACAGTGCTGCCTGAGAAGAAAGTGTGAAGGCTGTTATTTACCATTAGGCAGAGTACTTTCACTCTGGATAACAATTTTATGCAAAAAACTGTTATGATTCAAAATCCATGATGCTAAATGTTTGTAAATAGTCAATTTTTAAGTGCTTTTTTGCTATTTACCAAATTACATATTTGAGCAGTAGTTTGGAACAGTCTTTTTCTTCTGTAAGTGTTCTGACTTGGGAAAGGAAAAAAAAAAAAACTGTGGCCTTAAGCATGTTTTTCCTGATTATCGGATATGAGGAGTTAACTGTGATCAAATGCTTGAGTTTTTAGGCTAATATATACATATTTTTATTATAATTTGATTCAGTGCTGGTGTTCATTCCAGAATTGCCTACACTTCTCTAGATCCAGACAAACAAAAAAAGTGTAGGCTTTACTGGACCTAGAGTGTGTACCTTGGGGAAGCGAAGTGGGTTGGCCATGAAATCCGCGTTGTACTGTGCTGCTTCGGTTCATAGATACGGGAAGGTATGAGCGTGCTACAGTGATCATGCCTTGGTTAGCTTATAATTCTAAAGCAGCACTTTAAGTGAACTGATTGAAAGTAAGCCAGAAAAATTTTGTGTTTTTTGCAGTTCTGAATGCTTTGTTTTGAATACTTTATTGAATACTTCATCAGTGTTTTTTGCTTCAAGGCATGAGGAAAAGTATATTTAATTTTTTTTTTTTCATCCTTGAAAGGAGTTAATAACCATAAATGATTTAGAAAATAGCTCCTGAATAAAAGTAATTAACTTGAAAAGAGTAGACCAAAAGTTTTGATTTTGGTATTTGTTAGCCAAATTAATCTCTTATTTTATGAAATTCTCTGCTAGTATAATGGCTTAAAGCATACTCTCATTTATGCTACTGTTCTCACATGATGGAATTAAATTAATTTTACATCAGGCTAATAAATTAATAGGTAAATGTCATATATAGCCTTAAGCAGTTAAAACTTTCTCTGCTGGTGCAGAGTAGTAAATGATGTATGTTATCATACATGGCTGTCCCAATGAGAAAAAAGGGATATTAAGAAATGAAGCTGATAAAACAGATGCATTACAGGAAATGCAATTTTAACAGCATTATAGACCCATTCTTTTTCTACTTCTGAAACCAAATATTCTGTGTAATATGAAGTAATTAACACATAAATTCACTGGAATTAACATTTGGTTAACTCTATTGCAGGTTGCTGCTGTTGTCACAATTTGTAAATAAAAAGTGTATCAATTATGAATGGATACTTAAATGCAATGTTTTACAAATCTATCTTTTCACAGTTGTTGGCGACTAGTAATTTGTATTATTTGGGGATGATATGTTTTCAAGCCTAGCTCACTGATTGACTGCTTGTGGCTAAGAGTTTAGAGTACTTCAATAGATACTGCATAATCAGTAATTGTTATGCTTATTGTTAGGGTCTTTGCAATCCAAAGATCTGCTGATCAATTTAGGATATATACTGTACTTTCCATAAGGCCATAGGGGAGATTTCCTTGTGGCACAGTATTTTATTCCAACAACAGGGAAAAGATACGTTTTTTAGGGAGAGCAAACAGCCTGAGCTCTTATAAAGCCTTGGCATCGCAGAATTGTTGTATTATGTTTTATCAGGGGATACAATCCCGACTAGTCCTTGCAGTATTTGCTTATGCATGGGTTTATGAATCTTGCAGAATAGTTAATGTTGGAGGGGACCTCTGGAGATCATCTGGTCCAACCCCACTGCTCAACAGGGCCACCTAGAGCTGGTTGCTCAGGACAGTGTCCAGACAGCTTTTGAATATCGCCAAGGATGGAGACTCCATAGCCTCCCTGGGCAACCTGTGCCAATGCTTGGTGACCCTCATGGTAAAAAAAGTGTTTTCTCATGTTCAGAGAGAACCTCCCGTCTTTCAGTGTGTGCCCATTGTCCCGTCAGTAGGCACCACTGATGAGAGCCTGGCTCCATCTTCTTTGTACCGTCCCTTCAGGTGTTTATATACACTGATAAGATCCCCCTGAGCCTTACCTTCTCTAGGCTGAATTGGTCTGATCCCTTTTTAAACATGCTAACACTATGCCTTTACAACCTCTAGTGGCAGCAAGTTCACTGAGCGCTGTGTAAAGAAACATCTGCTGCCTATTTGTGTGCTGCTTTGTTCTGGTAGTGTAGATTTTGGTATACAACTGAATTTTCTGCACTTGCTGTATGTGTTGCCTTCATGATTTTGCAAATCTTCATAATTTGCTTCATCTTCCTGCCCCTCATCCAACTTTCTCCTTAAGTGCCCCAGGATATTAAGTATATCTTTATTTTTTATGCCTAAAAAGTTAATCTTGCAAGTTTAATGTACTTTCTGAAATAGAGACATTTATTGTATGTTTTCTGTTTGCTATTTATTAATGAGCAAATTTATTTTACAGAGTTTAGCAAAACACAATAGAAGTAACATTGGAACAGAAGGTGGCCCTCCCCCTTTTGTGCCTTTTGGGCAGGTATGGTGTCCTTTGTCATTTCATGAAAAAAACAAAAACAAAAACAAACCTGTATCATGATATATAGGGGTCCTGGTTCCAGTTAGATAAAGGCTATGAAAACACCTTAGATCAGGATGCCTTGGATCTAAAAAATGTACCTGTTTTAAAAAAATTTCCATAATCCTGTCACTTTGTTGTAGCAATTTATATTTAACATTTTCCTCTCAATTTTAAATTTGAAATTTTATTTAGTATGTGGAGCCTTTGATTCTGCCAGTCATAGTCCCTTTGTAAACACCAAAGGTATTTACAAGGATCATACTAGCTACATCATGAACTCCAAGCTTAAAATGTAGAAGTCATTCAATTTGGCCTTTCTAGTGGACCAGAGGAATGTGCTTTCAGCAAAGACATCTAGATGTCCTAGGTAGACATTTTTGCAGTCATATTCTTTCGATAAAGTTGTGCTACTCTAATGGAATAATACTTTTTTTTTTTTTTTTTTTCCAAATGAGAGTAGGCAGAAGAGTTAATTAAAACTTTCTTTTGCATTTTCAGAAATGTGCATCTCACGTGCAAGTGGACAGCAAAGAGCTTGATCGCAGAAAGACTCTGCAAATGACAAATACTGTAAAAACTGTTGTGGACAATGATGAATTTGAAAAGCAAAGAACAGCTGCTATCGCAGAAGTAACAAAGAGCAAAGAGGTTGGAATGCATGTGTTGTACCATTTTACTTACTGTGATCTTTTCTTGTTGTTTTAAGTAATTCTCTCTTTAATGACACATGCTTTCTGATGCTTTCCTGCTTGTAATTCTACTCATGTATCTTTAAAAAGATGAATCAAAAATAGAGTCCTTCTGGATTGATAATAAATGTATCATAATATAAAACTAGTAAACGTATCATAATATTTTATTGTAGGCATGATTTTGTTTTCATGTCACTATTAAAAAAATGTGGGTTTTATAATTTAGCTAATGAGATTTTAAGTAATAAATACAGGTTCTCAGTTTTCATGTGCTTTTTTCAATTCTCAAAAGTCCATGATTCCCTGCATTCAGTCTGAAAGAACAGCTAGGAAGTTTAGTTCTAATGTGTCAGGGTTTTATGTTCTCCCTTGGTTTTCCTTTTGGTTTATTTTTCAAATTTGCTTGATAAGTCATAAAAAATAGAATTATATACCCTTTTTACAGCCTCACTTGGGCATACAGGAAAAAAATACCTACTCTAATAAATTAATATTTTGTGTGTGTGTAAATTAGTGCTTTTTTTGTTGACGCAAAGCATAATCATAAAAAATACAGCTGCAACTAATTTACTGCACTTTTTCTACTAGCTAAATAAGGCTTATTTTCATAAATTCTGTTGACTGAAATGTTATTTTTGTGCTTATCTAAAGACCAAGACCTTTGGAGGAGGTGGTGGTAGTAGCAGAAGTAATCTCAGTGTGAGTGCTGGAGGGAATCGAAACAGGGAACTGTTCCAGAAGGAGAAAATAACAAAACCTGAGGGAAAGAATGAAGGTGTCTACCGAGAACTGGTAAGATGGAAGACTTAAATGGAGCCTTAAACGTGTACTATTAAAAAACAAAAAACCAATGTAACAAAATTAAAGCCAAAAACCCCTGAGGAATAAGGGATTTCCTTTCAATTTATTTTGAAGTCTGTTTAGAATACTTAGGGTGCTTTTGTACCTGAGGTAATTAGGAGTTTCAGTGTGATTTTTGTAAAAAAAAAAAAATAAAAAAAAAAAAAATAAAAAAAAAAAAATAATGTTGTCTTATCCAGCATAATTTAAAACCATGTCCTCACAGAAGAACAATAGTAGTATAGTAGTGTATGTGGTATAGGACATTACAGTATATTTTTATTTTCTTGTTTAGACAAGCTTAACATTTTTGCATGTTAACATTTATTAATTCATTTTGGGCAGGAAGACTTTCATCCTTCAATTTCAACACATGAAATAATATTTTAATGTAGCTTTTCTTCTGAATTAATATTTATTTAAGAATCTGTTTTAAACCATTTTTTTGACATTGAGAAAACAAGTGGTACTTTGATGTTTAACACAGCAAAAATACTTTTGTTGTGACATGGGAATGTCATACTTACGTGATCACAAGTAATGTCTCCTTTTGAGTAAGGTGGATTACCACTGGAGAATCTGAACTGTATCCCTTAATCCAAAACATCACCTTCCAATGTATTTCATAACTTCATACTTACTGAGAAGTGTTCTTTGGGATCATTGCATTGAGTTAAGTGGGCATAAGATGAGCAGTCATTGAAGTTTTGTTTTGATGACTTCAATCTAAAGGTTTATGATGGAGTAAGTATTTGTTATCAAGAACAACTCTGGAGAGGAATTTCTAAGTATGCAATAACAATTAATGATTCTGATTTGAGTCATGAAAGACTGAAAAAGGCATCGCAACAATGTAGTAACTCAGTAAACCAGTATTAAAATATTGATTATAAATATAACTTATTATTGAATATTTTCTACCTTATTTACTTTTACCAAAGTTTTAGCAATAAGAAAAGACATTTAGGAACAGTAACTGCATGTTATAATTTTGTTTGTATAGCTATGTGTTGTCATCTTGCAGCAAGGAGAGCCTCCAGCAGTGCTGCCTTCAGCACTGTGTTCAGAAATGTCAGTATAGAATTGTAGAAACACAAGCTGAGAGGACCTCAAGAAGTCATTTAGTTACCCATCTGGCCAGTGTAGCACCAGTGGTACATCTTGTCATTCTTGACAACTGCATCTTGACCTAAGTAGGCTTAAAAAAACCCCCAGACAGATAAAAAACCCAACCAAAAAATTGTGACATCAAGTAGGTGTAATTGTTGACTTTCTTGTATATTGTTGACTTGTGTGTATATTTAGAAATGGTTAAAGGTTTTTAATACATCTGGTTTGTTACTGTCTGAGAAACCTGAAGCACTGTATCTTTACCTACAAAGTAAGAAACAAAGACGTAATTTTTCGTGTTTATTTGTAGACAGACAGTAAATTGCAGCAGTCAATCATCCTGCTCTCGTAATAGTCCTTATAGGATATGGCCTACAGTTTTCTTTGTCTTTTTAGTGTTGTATAGCAGAAGCAAGATACGCTGTGTAAATGAAGTTGTAGGGAGAGATTTTGACATCGAAAGATAATTAAGATACTACCTCTTTTCTCAAATAGTCTTTGTATCTGGGAAATTGACATTTCCTTGGGTCTCAAACTGTGACTGATCCAAGATTTTCTTTTATCAATAGCTGAGAGTACAGGTACTGTATATATGAGTCTTAATTTCCTGCTAGTCTTTGAATGTAGCTGTTGTACACAGAATTTCCACTGTTGAAAGGAGGTGATGAAGCAGTAATGGCTAGAATTTCTCTTCTTATCCAAACCAGCTACTTGTGTACAAAGGGGAGAAGAGTGAAGCAGATTTGCTGAGGAAGTACTTCTCTCTTTTGGACACTTGTTGCCATGCAGAAGAATCTAGGAAAATGGTCCACAGGAGGAACTGTTATATTCTGTCATTAAAAATAAGACTTTGTTTTTAGGCAACTTGAAGTCAAGCTCAAGTGGAATGGTGATTCCCTGTAGACACTGAGATCATGTTTCTGCCCCATTGGTCTTCAAAGACATTTTGAATTGCTATTCCTTTACTTAGTCTTTGTACAGTTAAATTAAGAGTATTGTTGAGTTTGGGAATGAAGAAGGCTACATGAAAACACTGGAGTTAACAGTGCTGAGCACATGGGAGTTGTAGCCAAGCACTGCAAAGTCATGTTTTGCCCATTACAGTGATTTTTGCTTACCTAAAGGTAGTTATGAAAGTTATTTGAGTTGTTATATCTTCTGGCTTACTCTATTGAGGTGTCTCTGTATTGAGATAGCAACCACAAACACTGATTTTGTGCCTCTTCCGCCAAAAGGAGACCTGCTTACATCTGTTGTCCCAGAGCAGTGTGTAGCTGGAATTGAGACAAAAAGTGCATGTATTAAAACATCAGAAGAAATGAAGATTGGAGAAATTGCATCATAAGACTGTGGAAAACAGAGGAGAGGAAGGGTTAAATGTTATTTGTCATACAACTCTCATGCAGTTGCAATTTAAATCATTCTAGCAATAAAGTTCATGTTCTTTTAAGCAGTTGGGAGAAAGAAGGTGTTGTGTATTTTAGATGTAACGTTCTGCTGGGTTTGGGGGTTTTTTGGAGGGTCACAATATGGCTATTTCGGAACCTGTAAACAAAATGTTATGTTTGTGGGACTCCAGCTAGTGTATTTGGTTACAGCTGTTGCAGTAGATGGATTACTGGCATCATCGTGGTTGGGTATAGGATGAGGAAGGACAGTAGGGCCTAGTCCCATTTCATGTTTAGTGAATGTAGGACTGTTTGCAATGGAAGAGACAGTTCCCAATTGAATGCTTTAAAGCACAGTGCAGATGTAAGGTTATTTTCTTTGCCGTTTTATCATGCTCTATACAGTTTATAATAAGAAAGCCTGTATTTCTGGAGAAGTAAATTGTATTTCTTTGCTTTCTTCTACAGAACGTCTAGTGTTTATATTTTCTGCATGCTTTAAGTGTATAACTGGGTTCTATATTGTCTGTAAAAGTTGTGAAAGGGTTCAAATGGGAACAAAGGGCTAGTTCTTATACCACTATTACTTTGAGAGATTCCTCTTAGTTTTCATGTCAGAGAATAGATATTACAGTCTGTCATACTATTCCAGTGTGTACAGCAAAGGAAGAGGTAGACTAGGGGAATTTGTACTTGAAATCACTTAATATTAGAACTGAAAACTGATGAATTAAAAATCATCATCATAATAATATTATGAAAAAACATCTACTGGCTAACTGTTTGGACCTAAGAGAGATCATATGTGAAGATTTTATATAAACTGAAATATTTATCGTCAATTAAATATGAAATAGTGTTTCAGTGACAAATTAATGACAAATTTAAGTCACATCTGGTGTTTTTATACAGTCTCTGTTGTATCTTATGATTAGTTCTATGTGTACCCTTTTATTTCAGGTTGATGAAAAGGCTCTAAAACACATAACAGAGATGGGTTTCAGCAAAGAAGCAGCAAGACAGGCACTTATGGATAACAGTAACAGCCTGGAGGCGGCATTAAATTTTCTTCTCAACAGCAGTAAACAGAAACCCATTCAGGGACCACCACCTAGAGGTAAACCTTGCAAAGAAATACTTTAAAACAGTGTTTATGAGGAAAGGATTTTGTGTATGGTGGATTACTTAAGTAGTTCTAGAAGGGCATATCTGCGTGGTTTTTTCCTTCAAGTTAGAATGCATTGCAAACCTGAAAGCAAATAGTTAGAAAAGGCCTCCCTATTGTATTCTTGTCAGAATTTTTGAATTTGAAGTCACATATTTGAATATCCTTAAATGGAAAATACCTGTATCTCTTTTTTCCCTGATAGATTATTATCTTTTTTTTTTTTTAAAGATAGAAAATACAAACATTTTATAAATCAAAAAAGTGTGCACTTTTTTCTTATCTATTCCCCACTCACAAAACACTTCTGATGTTTATAGGTAAAGGGAAGGGCCGAGGCCGAATAAGACCTGAAGATGAAGAAGAACTAGGAAACACCAGACCATCTGCACCAAGCACGCTGTTTGATTTCTTAGAATCCAAAATGGGTACCCTAACAGTAGAGGGTAAGTTACTGAAATTAATGTATCTGGACCAATATTGGACAGTGTTGGTGGAATTCTTTTTCCTAACTTTGTCATCTAAGAAGTGGTTCACAGAGCTTTCTCCACTGTCAGCTGTAAAAAAAAAAAAAAAAAACAAGGAGTGCTAGGTAGGTATTCCTCTCCTTTGAAGAAAGGTCAAATAAATTACACCATGGTGGTTTGTGCTTCTGTCTTGATTATAGAAGAGTTTAGGGTGTTTGTTTCAGGTTTATATGTCTAAAAGTCAGTAGTTGTGAAATAAGGTGACATAAATCCCAGTTTGTTCATCTATAAAGAAAAAAACATAACTCCAGTCCTTCTCCTCCGTTATATAAACAGCACGTTTTGTGTGCTGCCCAGTTAAGAGTTTAGTAATTGTGATAACCTTTATCATTTTTGTATTCACTCTGTGGAGGGGGAAAAGAAAAACCACCTTTTTGGCTGCTGTAAAATATTAAACAACTATTTCTCCTGGTTTTCCTGTTTAATAACTGTAAGGACTGAAGGAAAGGTAGGGTTTTAAAAAGAGGGAAGCCAAATAATCCCACAGATTTAATGCAAAAGATCTAGGATTTTTCTTTAATGTCCTTTTAGTTACTTTTCTTTCTTAAGAAGCCATATGAGAATGTGGTCTCTATGTACCAGGATGTCTGTTTAGGTCTAAATCATTCAATACTCTGGAAACTTGAACAGGCAGATACATTTAAAAAAAAAAAAAAAAAAAAAAAAAAAGGAAACTTCATACATCCTGAGGTCTCTAGAGGCTGCTGTAATGTTGAAGTGGTGGTAAGCTGAGTAATAAATGGAGATAATTTTTATTTTGGGGTATGACCTTGGAGGTGTTTCAGTGGCCAATGTGAAATGAAAATATCTGCTCCTATTATTTAACATGAGGGTTTTGTGATGGAATTGTAATTTTTTTTCTCCCTAGAAAATTACACTTTTCATAAAGGGTGACAAAAAGGTTATACTAGTTTATATGAACTGTTTGATATTTTGGGGTTTTCTAGTGCATTTAAAGAATGACTGCATATGTATGTAATTATTTTTTTAAGTTCCAGAATAATCTTTCTAGCTATTTATCACAGACTCTAGCTTTGTGTGTTTTCACTGGATTTGGGATTTAAAAAAAAAAAAAAGGTAATGTGGAAAACAAGCTTGCAGTAAATGAAAGCGAACAGGTCGCCCTTTTGGGAAAGTTACAAATGTCTGTCATGTCAGTATGCACCTGCATCAGACATACAAATAGAACATCCCCCTTCCTCTGGTGAGTTGAGTGAGAGATCTTTTGTTGAATGTATTATTTTTGTTTGTAGCTTATATGTATTAAAAATGTGTAAATATTTATCATCTTTGCTATAGCAGTGAATTTATAGTTAGCTGTGTTTGAGAGTAATTATTGAATTAAGAATGGAAATATGAAACCATTGTAGACTCTGTCAATGCATCAAAACCTCAGCTTTTTTGAGAATTACAAGGACTGTCTGCTTACCATTAAATACATGGCATATTTTTTTCAAGAGTTATTTTTTGTTAAATCTTTCAGAGCTTAGAAGCTGCACGTACACAGTTGCTACTTGCATAAGTAGTGTAGCATTTTACATTAACATATTTGAATATTATTTTTTCTTCATGTAGCATCTAAAATTCAGTATATTCAGGTGGAAGGAAACAGCAGTTGAGAAATTCAGTTCTTGGAGCTGTAAAGAGGATGCCTTTGTCCAAAAATGAAAGAACAAACAGCGAAGAAAAAGGATGCACATTTTGTCGTAAAAAACTTGCCTTAACAGATGGGCTCAGGAGTTAGAGAACCTGCTAGCAAACCCACTGGTCTCTTGCTGCTGCTGGTAGAATTAGATGCATTGTGAATCATTTAAAGTTCACTGAACATTTTTATGACCTGCTAAGGTTGATGTATGAACAGAAAGGCATTTGCTTATAAATGTGATAGCTTACAGTTCTTTTGATAGCAAATACTATATTGATGCTGTATCTAAGTTGAGTTTCATTGCAACAGTGTCTCTTTTGGCCTGCCAAATAAGTGATTTTAAATAGTTAAAGATAATTTTATATTTTAGCTGGGTCTAGGTCCTAACACAGATTGTAGGAAGTGAGCAAAAAAGTTACAATAGAGTTCCTTTTCTTATGTATGTTGTATATAGTTTGTTTATGGTAAGTAGCCACAAGTTTATTGGCTTTCTGAAATGCAGCTAGTTGTAGATTGAACATTTATATTATGAGTCTTCACTGTATTTGTCAGAAATTTAAAATACGTAAAGAAAATACCTTTCAAATACATAAGCATTCTGCATTAGCTGATAAAATTTTTTAAACTGTTCAGATAATGAATATAATCCCGTTTTCAAAAGCATGTGTAGGGAATTATACTTGAGATCTATCTTTTGGCAACTCATTTTGCTTACCAAAGAAGAGTTAGATTTTTACAATGAACAGAAATTAAGAGAGTGATAGTGTTTTTCTCTCACATTATCGTCATGTATTGTCATTGTCATTTGTCAATTGTCATTGATTTTTCTTTGGATAAGTTTTGTGCTTATATTGAAAGATTAGAGAAGGCTTTCACGTGTGACTGAAAGACATTTAAGGGAAAGAAAATAGAAGTAATCCCTGTGGGATATATACCTTTCTTATTGTCAGTAATTTTAGAGTAAGTAATAGTAATTTACCAAGAGTTGTAAAATAAGTTAATTGCTTCTCTTCAGATTATATTACTGAATAGTAGTGCTTGCTCAGGCGGACTTCTATGATCCTTTGGTTCAGTACATGTATGTACCCAACATTCTGTAGTGTAATAAAGCATAGTGTTATGCGAGTAAAAAAAATGGTTATGCTAGCATATATACTTCAGTTTATAATCTTCAATATTGCGTTTTAAAGATAAATACGCTTTGCTTTTGTGTGTTTTTCCCCTCTTAAATAAAAATAAAAAGATTCCATAAATGTCATAAGAAGAAAAAACATAATTCTGTAAAATCTTTGTAAAGGCTTTGTACTCCTTCAGTTGCCAAAAATTCTGGCATATATCCTAACATGCTACACAGGGGCTTTGGGTTTGTGTTTTTTAGCACTATGTTGTTTTTTTGGTGGTGTGTGTTTGTTTTTCTTTTTTTTTTTTTTTTTTCAGCATTACCTGAATGATTAATATATAATCTGGTATACTATTCCTGTGTCATGCTTTTTGGAAAAAAAAACAAAACAAAACCAAAACTAAACAAAACAAAAAAAACAACTTGTTAGCATTTTTGAAGAGTTCAGAAAATGTTCAGATTACTTTCAGGTTGGGTTTTTTTTTTTAGAATATTTCAGTCTTTTTTTCCTTCTGAAGAAATAATAATACATGTTCTTGTACTTTCAGTTATTTGGAAGTCATTGGGCTTTAAAGTGGTTGCTCAGTTTAATTTTGTTAGTTTTTATTTTCCTTACTGAATGTGTCTAGCCCATAGGGTTGTGTCTATTTCTATGCCAGGTTTTATTTTTATCTTCAGAGTCTAATTCAGATGGATTTTTCAAGAAATACATATGCATATGCTGAATTACAGGATTTTTGTCTCTTTAAAAGAGCGTTTGTTTTTTTTTTTTTTTCTTTGCCAAGTTTGAGAACCTGTGCAGTCTGAATTCAAGCACATATAAAAAAATCATTTATTGAAAGTGTTACTTTTCGGCCACTTTTATGCCTCTGGTTGAAATTAATCTCATTTAAATTCTTAATTGTTAGTTGTCTTAAGTTCCATGTGAACTGAGATGACGTGAACGTTAACAGTGTTTGTAGCATGATGGGGTATTTGCAGTGATTATAGTTAATGTTGTGAACACATTCATCATGAAGCCTGCATCCAAGAGTTTGCAAAAATATAGGATATATACTATTAGCACCTTCTTCATTTCATTTGGTACTGTCAGTTGTTCATATAGAATCATAGAATTGTTTAGGTTGGAAAAGACCTTTAAGATCATCAAGTCCAACTACTAACCTAGTACAGCCAAATCCACCCCTAAACCATGTCCCTAAGCACCACATCTACACGTCTTTTAAATAACTCCAAGGATGGTGACTCAACCACTTCCTGGGCAGACTGTTCCACTGATTGACAACCTTTTCAGTGAGGAAATTTTTCCTAATATCCAATCTTGGTGTCATCTGCAAACTTGCTAAGAGTGCACTCGATCCCCTCATCCAGATCATTGATAAAGATGCTAAACGTAACTGGCCCCAGTACTGAGCCCTGGGGAACACCACTTGTGACTGGCTGCCAACTGGATTTAGCTCCATTCACGACAACTCTTTGGGCCTGGCCAGCCAGCCAGTATTTTACCCAGTGAAGAGTACATTACACCTGTCCAGGCCATGAGCAGCCAGTTTCCCCAGGAGAATGCTGTGGGAAATGGTGTCAAAGGCTTAATTAAGTTCTGCATAGACAACATTCACAGCCATTCCCTCAACCACTAAGTGGGTCACCTTGTCATAGAAGGAATCAGGTTAGTCAAGTAGGACCTCCCTTTCATAAACCCATGCTGACTCAGACTGATGTTGTCCTGTACGTGCTGTGTGTTGGCACTCAGGATGATCTGCTCCATAACCTTCCCTGATGCCAAGGTCAGACTGGCAGGCTTGTAGTTCCCTGGATCCTCTTTCTGGCCATTCTTGTATTTGGGTGTCACATTAGCTAACCTCCAGTCAACTCAGACCTCCCCAGTTAGCCAGGACTGCTGATAAATGATGAAAAGTGGCTTGGTGAGAGCATCTGCCAGCTCCCTCAGTACCCTTGGGTGTATTCCATCTGGCCCCATAGACTTGTGGATGTCTGAGTGGTGTAGCAGATCACTAACGACTTCCCCTTGCATTATAGGGGCTTCATTCTGCTCCCCATCCCTCTCTTTCAGCTCAGAGGGCTGGGTACCAAGAGAACAGCTGGTCTTACTATTGAAGATTAAGGCAAAGAAGGCATTATGTACCTCAGCCT